TACAACTTTAAAGAGAGTTGTAAATGATTTACCTGAATTTGTATAAAAAAATAATGTGGGAATGTTTAATCATTCAAGATTAAACCTCTTCTTAAGATTGGAGTTATGTGGCTGCTGAAAAAATTAAGAAATCGATAGAAATCAATATCTTAAAATTAGAGTTTTCAAAGGCCTAGATATGTTTTTAAAGATAGATTATGTTAAAATAATCAACTTAGGCTTTATTAGAGACTACAATTAAGATTATTGTGATGATTGTAAAAAAGTAATTAGAGATCTATTAATTTAATATTAATAAAGTTGAATACCTGCAGAGAATGGATATTAAACATCAACTTATTTATATTAATTTCCTATAACAAAGAAATAAAAGGCAAATAAAGATTATAAATTACAATAACTTGGAGATGAATATCCAAGGTTTTTAATATAATGGCATTATTTTCAATATTCAATATGAACATAGAATAATAATGAAAAGCCAATACTTTCTATTTTTCCCTCAATAGATTAAGTTAATTTTGTTAATTGGACTATAAATATTTATTTTTGGTATTACCAAAATATTTTGGTATAACATTACTTGTAAAATTAGAGGACAAACTTTTCATTAAATTCAGATTATTTGGTTTACATTTATAAAAAAAAGGAAAATGATTGTCTATTTTAATAAAATTTTGACAAATTTAAATGGAACTCGTAAACCTAATTTGTGTCAAGGTGGTATTAGTAAAAAACCTGCAGATCTGGGTTCTATCAGGAAGATTAAGAATGTTAACCTTGTAGATAGGGTTATTAAACATATAACAATTCATTCAAAAGTGAAGTTTGTTTTCTAATTATTATTTAAGTAAGGACAAATTATGCTTGCTATACAAAAATTGTTTAAGTTGTTACACATATAAAGATGGGACCTATACTTGAACTTTTTGTATTGGAAATTCAATTACAATCAGTTAGAAATGTATATCTTGTGGGGATTAAAGAGTCCGGTCAATCAAGATACTGTAATTATTGCCAAGGTTCACCTTCATAATAATATTTATCTATGGATGGAAAGAATAGTAGGCTATGCAATATATATTATTTTGATTATATTATTCTATTGCAAACAAGTTTTGATATCAATGTAAAGTTGTAAATTACAATTTAGATAAGTATTAATGTAGATTGTGATTTTTGCAAAGAGAATTATCATTCATTTATAAAGGCGAGTTGAAATAATAGAATAATGATTGTTAATTTGCCATCATCTAAAATGAAGATTACAAGAAAATCTGTCCAATTAATAAAACAAATTATGATTCTGTTTAAGTGTCTAATTGCTTAATACCAAATTGTATTTTATGTATTCCCCATTACACAAAAAATGATTTCTTCTATATTGAATGTTAGGATGGATATTTTTCAAAAGTCCTTTCTGGTTAAATTATTTAGTGTGGTCAAACTTGCAAGACTTGCATTTAATAAAATAAAAAATATAGATTATTGGAAAAGGAGTATTAAAGCATTTTATTAATTTTTTATTAATAATAATAATGACCATCCATTTGAAAACTATGCTTCAAGGAATTCTGAATCAGATTTGAATTTATTTTGCACATCATGTCGCTATGGATTAATTTTATATGATTAAAAATGCATGTCATAATGTGATTAAATTTGTAATAAATATGAAATCATTGATGGAAAAGCAACATTTATCTAATGTTTAGAAACTATTTCTGGGTTTATTAAAAGTTAAAATGAAAATGGAAGTTTTTTGCAATGTCCTTCTAATTGGAAAGTCTGTATGTATAGGGGTGAATCAGAAGTAAAAGAAGTTAATCCCTACTTTATTTCAAAGAATTAAAATAATTTTTAGACTAGAATATGTTATGAAAAATCACAAGCTAGCAAAAAATAAGAAAATTATTATTATTCTTATTTATTTCCATAAATTTAGTAGTTTGTAACAAATATGAACAATGTTATAATCAAATTATTTACATTAAAACCTAGAGGAACTTCTACTTATTATGAATAATAATAATAATCAATTGACGAATATTTTGAAAGCATGAAGGTATTTTTTTGTCAGCTATTTTGGTTATGGATATAAAAAAGTTTAGAGACATCTTAACTTTTTGATTATTTAAATTTCTGTAAGTCACATTTACTTCAAATATACCATAATTAAAGGGAAAAACCAAGATCATTAACATTATCTATTAATGAAGGTCAAACATTGCTAGAAAAGAAATATTGATATATAAAGAGATTATTTAACAAATTATTATT